TACCAGACAACTCTTTAAAATCTTGATTTCATAATTATAACCACATGTAACGTTTTATTCAAGGTATGTCCCTGCCTTGGAATTCAAGTTATGTCTGTCTGTTGCAACAGATTGCTTTAAAGTACAATGTTTTTGTTTGCATAATTTCATAATTCATTGATATTACAACGCATTTCCACTTGAAAATGAGGCAGTTTTCTGTATCTAATTGTCTCAAAATCACCATATGTGAAAAATTAGTTTTACCAAAGTATAAATTAGTAGAATCCTTGCATTTTCTTTAACAGCAAACAAAACTGAAGGAGGTCAGAAGATACATAGAACTGCATCAAGTTTTAATTATGTCACGGTGTCATTGTTTTACTGTTTTATTGTTTTGCTTGATGTTTATTATTTGCTTTTGAGTTTATTGTGTATTGTATGTTGTTGATTGTTCGCGGCCTTGGCCTTTGTAAGCCGCATTGAGTCCTATGGGAGATTTTGTGGAGTATAAATAAAGTTAATAAATAATTAATAAATAAGTGTTGGGTGTTGTTAATGCTAAAGGTGCCCTGCTAGTTTAACAGCTATATACTCTTTGGATATATTGTGATGGGCTTTTAATTGATTTATATAATGCTTTTGAGAAGTGGGAGTGAGCCCATCCTGATATCTGTTTGATGCCTCTTTGACAACTCTTTCAAATGAAACAAGTATGTGGCAAGCCCATGTCAGAAAAGGATGTCTGATCTTTCCTGTAAAAGATGTTTCATGTGATATCTATATATATATATAAATAATCTGTACATAATGGGTACCTTAAAAACCAAAGATCCAATGAATGAAATCACACCAAATTTGGCAACAAAACATCTCACAACACAAGGAGTGACCATCACTCAAAAATTATGATTTTGTCATTTGGGAGTTGTAGTTGCTGGGATTTATAGTTCACCTACAATCAAAGAGCATTCTGAACTCCATCAACGATGGAATTGAACCAAACTTGGCACACAGAACTCCCATGACCAACAGAAAATACTGGAAGGATTTGGTGGGCATTGACCTTGAGTTTGGGAGTTGTAGTTCATCTACATCCAGAGAGCACTGTGGACTCAAACAATGATGGATTTGGCACATGCACTCAATACACCCAAATATGAACACAGATAGAGTTTGGGGAAAATAGACCTTGACATTTGGGAGTTGTAGTCACTGGGATTTACAGTTCACCTACAATCAAAGAGCATTCTGAACCCCACGAATGACAGAATCGGGGCAAACTTCCCATACAGAACCCCCATGACCATGAGAAAATGCTTAAGGCCATCCAACCCAACTCCCTTCATCAGGGCAAGAAAACATAATCAAAGTCCTCCTGACAAAGAGCCATCCAGCCATAGATATAGATATATATGAAACACACACACATATATGTATATGACAGACATAATATCATAGATTTGAAAGGGACCCTTAAAGGAGGACAGTAATATGTCCCGTGTTCCAGAGTAGGCAAACCAGACAATCTCTACATCAACACTGACAAAGAAACAACAAGAAATACTGTTTACCCACAAGCATAAAGAAATTACATATATTAGAAACCAAAATTTCTCATTATTTTATTTTCCAGATCACCAGACTGGGCCACAGCAGCGCGTGGCAGGGGACCGCTAGTACCCTATATATTCATGCGTAAGTCTAGAAAGTTTGGTCAAAAAATCAACCCCAAAAACCTGGGGCAACTTATCCACAGGCCATCATAGGTACTGTGCCTTAATTCATAACAAAAAGGGATCATCCTCTTTTCTGAGTAAAGTCAAGAGGTTTGTCTGTACTGGGAGAACAACAACAACAAAAAAGCACCAATCCCCTCTATTTTCTCTGTCATAGCTCTGCTTTTGGCCTTTTTTAATACCTGGGGAAATAATGGTGATGGCCCCCTGAAGCAGCTTTGACTTCTTCCCTCTTTACAGACTGACCCTCAATTTATCCATGGGTCAAAGCAACACAAACTTACTGGCAACCTAGAGCCAAGTTATACAGGTATCTTAACAAAACTTTGAATTGGGTCTGGAAAATGACCGAGAGAAATATGCTTCCGGTCCAGCTCTACAGTCTTGCCACAGCTTTCTGGACTAATGAAAGTTTCCTCCAATACCCCCTCAAAAGTAGATAAGCCCTGTTTCAATTCATGTGATGTATTTACTTGTGCTGTCCAATGTGCCTTAGGGCATATCTGACATGTTCTAGTAAGCGAACATTTTGAAGACAAAGGAGCAAGTAGTGAATAAGCTGTCCATAGGATAATAATTATTCCATATTAACAATTACAGCACTGTGATAAACTGCAGTTCCACAGCTTCTGCCCAAAACACTGATTGAAATAACTTTATGTGGATGCCCAAGAAAGTAATATAACCTTGAGAAATCAACATTTCCAATTGTACAAAGTACGGTAATCATTTTTAAAATTCAAAGCTATATTCTAATCCACTTGAACTGGAGGATCTCTCATTATCTTCTCCTTAAAATGTACAAACCATTTTGAGTAATTTCTAAAAAATTATAGGGAAACATTTTGCATGTCTGTTCTATCCTGGTACATATCCCCCAGGAAAAGACGTTGTTTTACAGAGTCACTTAAAAAAGTGTATCTTCCAACATCCCATGATATATTCCAGTTTCAAAAGTGTGAAAGGAGAAAGGAGGGGAAGAAGGGAAGACCATATTTAACCATTTCTAAGGATTATTGAAGCAGCTTTGGATCACTGTCTTGGAAAGCAGTATTCTGTGACACACAGAATAATTCCAAAGCTTATATTACAATGCTATTCATATATATATTCAGAAGTACTGTAAGACCCTTGTAAATGTGAAACCCATATCTGTGCTTTCACCTACCCACGACAAAAGGGGAAATTGTCTCTGAGTTGCATTGGAGAAATAATCCAATTCCTAGAAAGGATACCGAAGAATCTTTACGGCCTCCAGCAAAACTCTATCCTAAGATGGGACCAGAAATCCAATTATGTAACAGTACTTGGCCATATCCATGGTTTCGGATAACCACACTTCAGTTGGAAACCTCTCCCCTATGCATGTTGGGTCTTAACAGTATAAAATAGTGAGATCACTATGTACAGGATTATAAGATTCTATTCAAGATTCTGTTCAAGGGTAAGAAGTTCAACTTGTGATGATCCGAGAAAAAAATAAAAATAATATAGTAAAATGGAATAGAAAGAGAAAACATTGTCACACATTGAAGAGGAAGAAGAGGGGAAGCAGAAATTTAAAAACCTAACAAGGACAATACAAACCACAACAAAGAAGATTGAAAGCCAAAAACCTTTTTCTTCTTCCCTCTTCCCATTTTCCCACAACTCTAAATCCACTTCTTTTTTTTCTTCCTCTTTTTCTTTTCTTCTCTCCATTCTATTACTCCCTGTCTTTTCCCCTTTACTCTTATCCCCCCTTTCCTATTTTAAGATATGGTAAATAAGTAATCTTACTTAACAAAAATCATTAAAAAAAGTTCAACTTGGAAAACTTTCAAACTATACTATTTATTTCATCTGCTTCATTATGTGATATAAATAATACATTCTACCAAGAATCACACTTTTATATGTTTTCTTAGATTATTTCAGATCTCATAAAATAGAAAATAACTGTGTATTAAAAACTGTGAAGACTTTTAACAGGCATAGCATCATCAGAAACAAAATTATTTGTTTTTCTGGACACATTTTTATTAAGTCCTTACTGTATTACAATCCAATAAATATATAATTTTGTAATTGAGTTTAATCATGCTGACCAAACATATGGTGGCAGCCCTGGGAAGCTTTACTTAATTAGTTTCCCTTTCAAACATTTTTAGAGTGTCCCACATAAACACAAGTCAGATTTTAATAAATCAAGGAACCAAAAATGGTGTAGAAACATACTTCATTAGAATTGAGCCAAAAACAAGAACAACAAGCCTTCTACAACCCAGTTTTTCCATTATTATGAAGCTTTGATTGCTCTTATATACTTTTACTCCTTCTAAGAAGTTATCTCCTGCCCCAGCCACGAGCAACAATGACAGAAGAGTATGTTTTCTTAACCAATTTCCTCATAAACATAAATGAATCTTGAACAAATTAAAGGGATTTGACCACATTTATGTAGACAGTCTTCAGGTTGGTTTGTCAACTGCCAAGATAAAAATAGCTGATTTGATTTCTTATCGTGGTATCCACTGTATACTATTTCAAATACCAAATACACTCATGTACAAGTGTATAAGTTGAGGGCAGATTTTGGAGCCAAAATAATGCATTTTGATATGACTTATGAATAAGTTTAAGATATTTTGCAGATAATCGAAAGTACTAGTACCATATGAAGTGGAAATTACTACTACAATTTGAGGTGCCCAGTTGCTCCTTGTTGCCACTACCATTTCCATGCCAAGGAATTCTAAAGGCCAGAAATGGCCACCATGGGCGAGAACAGAGGGGAACAGTGCTTCTTTTAAGTTATCTTGGGATGGACTAAGCTCTTGCCTTTTGCCATTCTACTTAGAAAAGGGGATGGATTCTTTTAAACAAATAATAGTTAGGATAACGTACTCACACTGACCTGTGAGACAAGTTTTGGGGTTTTCACTAAAATTTCTAGAGTTATACATGAGGATGTAGGGTAAGATAACTTCAGTACAACAAACATTATATACATCCAAGCGATCTACATTAATATACTTGCATACTGGACTGTGGCAGGGGGAGTCAGTGCCATATTTTAGGATTTTATTATATTTTGGAGTATTAATCTATTGCCCTTAAATTCTCACACATGGCCTGCAAGAAAGTCAACATATTACTTATCAATATGCACAACCAAGAGGAAGTTCACAACACTATTTTATATAACATCTCTAAACTATTGTAATGACTGCTGCAAATACTGCTCTCAAAGTAAACATACGCACACACATTTTAAGTATATGCATTGCTTGCACTACTTACCATTGAAGAGAAATTCTTCAAAGAGGCACTGTGACTGCCAGCATTACACTTAAAATTCAAATGTTGGTCTGTTTCCCTGCTCTCTGTGTCACGGCTCAGTGACCTGTCGGAATTTGCAGATATTTTCTGGAGGGCAGTGCAAGTCATCCCCATGAAGTTAGATGGCTTGATCATAAAGGCCTCCAGAGCAATATTAAGAGAAACCTGTCAAAACAAATTGGAAGAAGTGGTACACTGTTTACATATTTTAAAAGGCAATCGGTTGTATAAAATCCACATTGTACATTAGCATGTATGCTTTTCAAAAATGCACCCATGTTTATGTACACCCCTACATAAACAGTACGACCCACATATCCATAGGGAACGCATTCACAGACTGTGTGTAAATATATGAAGCTGAAAATAATAGAGCAAACCCTTTTGCAATGAAGGACTTCTTGGCCAAGAATACCCATATCAAAGTCACATACCTAGTGAAGACTCTTTCCCCCCCAACATGAATAAACAAAACCATGGATATGACGGATATAGGAGTCATCGTATCCAAGTATACAACTTGTAGGACATTGAGATTGCTTTAAACAACATTTTAAAATGTAAAAAACCTAATCTTTATGTAAATAACATTGGGATTTGAGAACAGACATTCCTGTGACCTCAGTTCAAGTCCCACTGTCCTAGCGGGTGAGAAATTTGCCTTATACCTGGGAGGCTCTATGGATTTCCACACAATGATAGTGGAAAAATGATATCAAAAGCATGGGAATGATACTGGTCAAGGGTACTGAGTGGTCAGACCTGTCTCTAGCTGATAACAGTATTAGAAAATTGGATGGAATAGCTTGGGACTTCCTTTATAGGATACAGAGACACCAATACATGTTGCACACCCTTTATATTTTGCATTATACAAATGATAATGATTGGGTGACTTGTCACCCTCAGAACGTGCTCACACTGTATGGTTTGATATTAAAGATGGCAAATGGATAAGGGAAGATTCAGATGTTTTTTTATTCAGTATATACATCTTCCCACTTTGGTGCATACCAATCATCTTTCCAGTACTAATACAATCTTAGCAAACCCTTGAATGTGGAGATATATCACATGAAAAGGCCCAAGCATATCTAAACCAATCTATATACCTGGTGTTGGGGGTGGCAAGTGTAGAATAATACAAGTGGCATGCTTTTTAAAAAGAACCAATACTTTTTCCCTGATCACATTACATGCTTCACACTCCCAGCTTATGTGTAGCTGTAACACAGTACTGCACATGACACTTGGGGTTGGAATCAAATGGGATGCCAGCAAAAGTGTCCCTATGTTTTTAGTGGCAAGGGGTCAGAAAATTACTAAGAAGTTGGACCTTATCATGTTAGCCACTGGAATTGCCCGTATCATGACAAATATAGCAGTATCCAGCAGGGGGCAGGAGGAACTTGTTGCCCCATGTCATACATAGTCCAGCTTCAACCTTAAATCATCTCACAGGAAAAAAGTGTCTGCTGCTCAGCTTCCTTTGTTGATGCCTATGCATAACGGAAACCTACCGTGTTACCACGGCAGTGGTATATGCCTGTTCCTCTCCATTTGAACCATGGAGCCCCACCAGAAGTAGATGTATGTGATAGGATGGGAGCTGGTAGATTCCATGGTGCAAATGGCGAGGGACTAGCATATGTCACCAAATTTAGTCAGTCTGATGAGGTAGTAAGACCATATCAGAGGAAACAGTATCTCAACATTCTTCTTAGATTATCTGGAATCTGGTTCTCATGTAGGAAGGCAGCTTATAAAGCCCTGCCCAATGAATGCAGGGGTACCTGTACATTTGCATATCTAGACCACACGTGCAAATACGGAAAATATCAGCAGCTCCAAGACACTGGCTAAAGGAATTTTGCCCACTATTGGGACAGCAACTTCAACATTGCTAATTACTTGATAAAAAGGAGCATGGAATTCTACTCCACTATAAAATGAATGTTTCCCGTCACTGGCAGTAGGGAACAAAAAGATACAACATGGTGAAATGGTTCAATTGATCCTGTTCAGCTATGGAAAGCTACTGGGTAATGTTAGGTGAGTCACATTATCTCAGGATCACACGTTGGAAAGGGGAGAACTCCTCTAACAATGAAACAGTAAAAGCCTTTAATTGCACTCAAGAAGCATTGTCTTCACTGTAGCATTAAACAATCCCCCACTGAAGTCACCCTCCCAAACAAGAAAGCATTAAAAATCAACAAAAAACTGTGTGTGCAAACACTCATACTGCTTGTTGAAAAACTCTGGAGCTCTGATGAATGATGTAAAACTTTAAAAAATGCAAATAGAACAATACACATTGTAGAGGAGCATGGAAACAATAGGTGGGGTATTAGAGTCTGAGTGCCTAAGATGCGATGGACTTCCATGTTGTTGAGGTCAATCATTTTAATAGTAGTTATCATTATTTAGTTACTTTTCTAATTTTTTTCTACCTTGGAGACTTACATATAGCAGTATATTCTTTACCTGTTTTAAATGTAGTAATATTAATATGCTCACCACCCTAGAAATATTTGAAGCCACAAACTAACCACTTGGTCATGACCAAATAAAGGGAATAAAATAAGAAATCTAAGCCTGCTAGGTCTGCTGAGTTTTGGAGATCCTAGAAGTTATGTTTTAGTTTCAGCCTGATGGAAATTGCAATCTTTAAAACCATTATTTTAGTTCTTTTGTCAAGATACAGTAGATCCTTCATTGTCTATTTCTAGGAACTCTGCCATGGAACTTCTTTGGAATGCAGCACAGAGATAAGAAGTTGCATTCTGAACCTCACTGAAAAACAATTGCCTTGTAGGAGCTTATTCAGCAGAAAACCAGCAAGAAGGAGTGTGAAAATGAGGCAGGCATTTCACAATTTTTTCATCTTGCCTATACAGCATTTTAAAGCCAATCAATTGCTGATAATATAAGGTCCCTTACAAAGTATAAAAACTTCATTTATCACTCAGGATTTGCCATCTTTTTGTTTTTGGTGCTGTTTGAAAAAAAGCTTCCTTGCTCTTGAGATTTGCTGTCTGTCTTACTTTATCATTCCAGGAGGTGGAATTCCCAGGACATATGTAACTGATGTGCAATGTGCAATGCCCCAAAACCATGCTGATTTCAGTTCTGTTTTCGGCTGCCTCCCTGGTTCCATTTTCTGGGATATTCTTGAAATTGCTTTTATTCTGGTAAGATCTGGTCCATTGGTGCACTGGGGAAACTTAGAGGCTTGATACTCTGTCATTTTCAGGTCTATCAGGATGAAACTTGCCTCACTTGTAGGCCATATTTATGACTGCAAACCCAGCAAGTTTCAGAATGTATCACCAATCCACTGATTTTTAGGATTTTTTAATTTTTTATTATAACATTTTTTTAAAAACCCACAAGAGAGTGTTTGGGGAATTCGAAGTCCCAACCAGCATGCGCCAGAAGAGGGGAAGAGAATGGACACAAGTCAACTAGGCCTCTGATTGATTGAGAAAGAAACATAAGAAATGGAGAGAAAGAAAAACATCAGCTCCTATCATGCTCAGGAGGAAGCGGAAAGGCTCCTTCAATGCTCGCACTGCACAAGGTGCTGCTGGGGAAGTGGTTTTCCCAGCAGGGACCTCTCTAGAGGGAAGCCCTTCCTGTCTTTTCTCTCTTTCTATCTCTTTCTTTCCAGATTGATTTGCCTCAAGTGGATGCTCCAAAGAATTTAAAAAAGGAGTTGCCACCTCCAGGTACCCACTATTGCCCGATTTGTAAGGCCACCTGCACGCTGCAGCCTCCGCCTCAGTTAGAGTGCCATCCCGCCCCATTGCCCCGATTAGCCATGATCCGTTCTGGTTAAGGCTTGGGCTGAGTTCTGCCCAGTCCGTTTTTGGCAATCCCACTGCCGGATTGCTGAACTTTCCCAAATCCCAAATCACTAAACGGAACTCTCCACACCCCTAGTAATTGAGGACCTCATCACACTAGAGCAGTGGTTCTCAACCTGGGGGTCGGGACCCCTGCGAGGGTCGCCAGGGAGTATCAGAGGGGTCGCCAAAGACCATCAGAAAACACAGTATTTTCTGTTGGTCATGGGGGTTCTGTGTGGGAAGTTTGGTCCAATTCAATTGTTGGTGGGGTTCAGAATGCTCTTTGAGTGTAGGTGAACTATAAATCCCAGCAACTACAACTCCCAAATGTCAAGGTTTATTTTTCCCAAACTCCACCAGTGTTCACATTTGGGCATATTGAGTATTCATTTCCAAGTTTGGTCCAGATCCATCACTGTTTGAGTCCACAGTGCTCTCTGGATGTAGGTGAACTACAACTCCAAAACTCAAGGTCAATGCCCACCAAACCCTTCCAGTGTTTTCTGTTGGCCATGGTAGTTTTGTGTGCCAAGTTTGGTTCAATTCCATCGTTGCTGGAGTTCAGAATGCTCTTTGATTGTAGGTGAACTATAAATTCCAGCAACTACAACTCCCAAATGACAAAATCAATCAATCAATCTCCCCCCCCCCCCCCAACCCCACCACTATTCAAATTTGGGCATATCGGGTATTTGTGCCAAATTTGGTCCAGTCAATGGAAATACATCCTGCTTAACAGATAATACATTACAATTAATAACAGGAGCAAAATTACAGTTATGAAGTAGCAAGATAATTGTATGGTTGGGGGTCACCACAACATGAGGAAATGTATTAAGGGGTCGCAGCATTAGGAAGATTGGGAAACACTGCACTAGAGAATGCATCTACTTTAAATCTGGTTGCTGCCTACTGCAGAATTCTGGGGTATGTAGCTTAGGGAGAGGCCTTTAACAGCCTCACTAAACTATAAACCCCAAAATTCCGCAGGAGGTAGAAACCGGATTTAAGGTAGATTCATTCTCTAGTGTGATGAAGTAGTGAATCTCCACCTGTTCCTCACTGATGGTACATAACACCTTCACTGAAGATAAATAAGACCTTTGCTGTTCTAATGCAAACATTTTTTTTCAACAAGCCACCTGCACTTAACTACGATTACAATTAATTGCTTTTGGAATGAATGGAAATTATGCAGGAATTCATCTTACAGTGCACTAGCCACAATAATTTGTTCCATTTTACCATGGAAACCAATATGGGTTTAGGGAAGTCAATTTTCTTGAGGATATGTGAAGTAGAAGGGATGGTCCCTAAGTCAGAACATCTTGTCTAATTATGTAAAGTGGTGATTAACAGGGATAAAGGAGTTGCAGTGAGAACTTTGGCCAAAAACATTCTCAGATTCTTAGTTGGAATCATTTATACATGGCATTTTCACACTGAGACAGAAACTAGTCCAGTCACAGTGCTTCAGTTTGTCTAATTGCTTACTGGCTAAACTCCAAAATGAATGGCAATTATTTAGTATTGTGTGAGGCTACAATGGAAAGTTATGAGTATAGTGACAAGCAGCAGGTGAATTTACACTAATTCCATAGAAAAGTAAAATGAGAAGTGGTTGTGAATGGTGGATATGAAGAAGTCCTGTTAAGAGTAAGAAAGAAATCTGCTCTTTGCATATACAAAATACTCATACCTGAAGAAAAATGGGTGCATCCACCCACAAATGAGAATTTAAAAAAAATCAATACTAAAAAAAAAAAAAACCCAAACCACTATGTTATGCAAATAGAGTGTGCATGCTCTTACTGTGATAGAAACATTGTGCAAATATGAACTCAAATTATAACACACAGCAGTTGTTTACAGAAATCAACTGTGGCTTGCTGAAATCATCTTGTCAAGATTCAATTGTGTATCACCTTTGGTATTCAAAGATTATACAGGTGGGGAGAATATTTTTTTAAAAGGTCATTCACAAGAATGGGTGTCTTGAAATATCCAGAAACCCTGTAAAAAAAGGTCTGCTAAAGTGATACCACAGTGCTGTAATTGTACAGCAGAAAGGAAACCATAGATTAAAAAAAGATGCAGAAGCCTAGAGGATTTATTCTCTCTCATGATCAGGTACCTGCACATGTAGAACTTATCAGATTATGGACGATTGCTTCTTTGCTACAGACATAGAGTTCCTCCTATCTTCATAATTTGGTGTATAGGAAGCACCAATCAAATGATCCTATTTAGTACACCAAGAAATGTTTCCTACATAAAAAGAACTTTTAGAAAGCTGAATTATTCCACAATTATGACTTAATCATTGATTAAGATAACAAGAAAAAAAGCGTGTTACAGTAATTTAGGAATAGCAAGGGGAATCCATGCTTAAAAGCTAAGTGCTTACAACATATTTCAACAGAAATAATTGTTCCCAGAGGAAGTTGTTTTATTAGTGCCAGAATCCTATTGTGACACTAATGATCTTTATGCAAGTCAAAATACTAAGGATTAGAGGTGCTAGCATTGGCAGGCTATTGTGGGGGTTTAAGGCATTCTTAATTGTGAACTGCTCCAGGAATTTAGGTTAGCACATGAGTGAGATCCTATGCCACACCAGAATTTGCTGAACAACTGCCATCATCTGTTGGCACACTGCTTAGTGCCAGTACAAAATCTGGTGCAATCAGTTCTCTAACACAGATTATAACATGTAGAGAAGAGTTATGCAACTGTCCGGTTCTATGAGTCTACATTAGCCATCTGCCCTTGCGCTTTGCTACTCTGCTGCTGAATACACATGCCCAGTGTGGAACATATCTCACCACACTAAAACAGTAGATGTGGCTCTTAATGAGACATGCCGCATTATCACGGGGTGTCTGCACCCTACTCCACTGGAGAAATTACACTGTTTAGGTGGTATTGCACCACCTGACATCTGCCGGGAAGTAGCAACCAATAGTGAAAGGACCAAGGCAGTGACATCTCCAGCTCATCCCCTGTTTGAGTATCAGTCAGCACATCAACGAATTAAATCAAGAAATAGTTTTCTAAGATCTACAGAGATACTCGCTGGAACGCCTCAGCAAGCGAGAGTCCAAAAGTGGCAGGCAAGAACCTCAATCAATGACTGATACCAAATGAGAGACTCTCCCCTGGGCACACAGAAGACTGGGTGACTTGGAAGGCGCTGAACAGACTGCGTTCTGGTACCACGAGATGCAGAGCCAACCTTAAGAAATGGGGCTGGAATCCATGACATGCGAGTGTGGAAAAGAGCAAACTAAAGACCATCTGCTGCGATGCAACCTGAGCCCTGCTACATGCACAATGGAGAAACTTCTTATACTACTAGAGGCACCAAGTGGCCAGCTACTGGTCAAAGGACATTTAATCAACTACCAAGCTTGCAAACTTTGTGTTTTGTTTGTTTGTTTGTTTGTTTGTTAAAAATGCAATACAAGTGTTTGGCTTGCTCCTGACACGATAGATAGATAAATAAATAAATAGCCATCTGGGAGACCATGGCAGGCTGCACTTCCTTGATGCATTTCCGTACAAAACTATGGAAATATAGCGGTAAATTTCAACATGTTTTGGGTGCTTCGTACTACTTCAGTGCCAGGAGAGACAATCAAAAATCGATTAGCAATAGGAAGGGAGCAGAAATTTCTTCCTTCTCATATCCTGTTTTAGGAGGGGGGGGGGGAACCTCTCTTGATGTTTAAATGGCCTGGGGAAGGAGCAAAGTTAAAAATGCCCCCACCTATCTTGAAGGCTGCATGTGACCTATGGAATGCATTTTACTAGGATTGTGGACCTTGTACATTAGCATGTACACTGCACCCCCAACCTCCTACCACCTTCAAACCCCCTGAAACAGTCTGTTATTTGTCACTTCATTTCATGCATCTGATGAAGTACACATAAAGCTACAGTATCTTATGTTACCAACTTTTTTTCCTCTTGAGTTATTCTCAAAAGTGCTATAAAATCTCACGGCATAATAATAAAAAGGTATGTATGGATGGGGAATACTTTAAACATTACTGAGTCACGTCTAGGCTCTGACAAGAAACTCCAGCTCTTCATGCTTCATGCAGTGACTGTTACAAAATCCGATGCCGTATGCCACAATAACCTGTGTACATCAACATTAAGAAGCTTCATTTCTCAAGGGTTCTGTGCTTCCTCCTCCCCGCTCAAGATTCCCAAGTCATAAAGCCACAAATAAATCTGAAGAATGTACATACCTTTGATATGACCTGTGTATTGCTGGTCAGAGTTAGATTTGCAATGCTCTCCACACACTGCACAATCTTAGTGCAAGCTTTATCTTCCTTTTGTGCCATCCACAATACATGGTCATTTACCAGCATTATATTGCTCGCAATTTCAACCACAGCATCAGCAAGCTGGTGGGAGAAAAAGGAAGAGGACAAAAGACATGGTGTAAAGTATTTACTGCACAACAACATAAAAACACAATTGAAAGCTGTTTCATTTAACTGGTCTGTTGAGCATTTCAGGAATACTACTTTTTAGAACACTGACTTACATTCAGATATTTATAAGAATTAATGGATTTCTTCTGGATGTGCCTTTTTCCAAATCAGTAATTAGAAAGCCAAAACAATCTCAGTTAGCCCAAATGACTACTTCACTGAAATTAACAATACAATACTATGAGGACTATAAATGCAGTCTAGAAAAACCCTGATACAAATGCAAATGACACTAAAATAACCTATTCAGTTTTATGCATTTAGTTATTTCAATTATTTCTCTATTGGATTTACATTTTCAAAATCCCACCAACGTAAAGCTAAAACAGAATTAAAGGCAGTTTGAAACAATAAGATGGCAAGTAATACATACAACAATTGGATCTACAATATACAAACAATCACAGAAAATGGTTGCTGAAGCAAGCATAAATTCTATTATATTGAGGTTTTTTTTCACAAAAACATAGGGAATAAGTTAAACAGGCTGCATTTAGTAGAATGTCAAATGAATCATCTCACATATTCACACAACTATGACAATTAGAGTGCTAACACTTCCTTCTGCCCAACCTTACATCTGACAGGGAGCACCTAATTTTACTAATACTTTGGGAAGATCAATAGCCAACCAGGTTAGGTGACAGCAATTTTGTGAACTTTAGACATGTCCAATTTGAACCCCATGCCCAATTATGTTTGTGCAAATGCCAGAGATTAAAATACAGACTCGGGCTCCCAAGAACATAGCCACACTAGGGTTTCACTCACTAGCTGAAGCTCTTCTATTCTGCTATAATAATCTGCTTCATATTATTTACTTCCTAACAGAATCCTTAAAGCGCTATTCAAAATTACTGGATCAGTTTCTTAACAATATGAGACCATGTGTTACCGTGTTATCATTGATTGAGCTGAATATTTTGATTATATTTGTCGTCAGTTTTCTTTGTATTACATTGTGTTTTTTTAATTTCCATTTTATCTGGATGATTTGTTTTGCAATTGTATTGTATCGTTTTCAGATTCTGCCTTCCCCTCTGTGTGCGTATGTGCACACACACACACACATTTTAGATTGTTCACCTTTGATACAACACATTCTTTTTTGTGCTATATACATGAAAAACAACAATAACAATGACAGCAACCAGTGTGGCTATCCACATGTGGCTGGGCTGTAATTCTTATAGTCCCATTGGTCAGTGAAAGTGTTAGTCCAATAACAGCTTGATGGGCAAAGCTCTCCTCCCAGACACTTCCTAGTGAGAAGATCTCAAACAGCGCTTGACTTTGCATTTCATAAAACAAATTTTCTGTCTTTACAGCTATTAGTCTTGCTGTGATGCCCTCTGCCCCTTTCTGGCTTCTTAGGGTGATAATGGTATAAAGCATTAGTAGCATAAATAATGGCATAAATCACCAGGTCAACAAAACAGTCTCTGTGGGTCTGGAAGTCAATATTCTGCCCCCGAGAATCACTAAGGAAAAGGCAGAAAGGCCAAAAAAAGGTCAAGAAACAAAAACAAAAAATGTGGCCAGAATCCCACATTTGGTTTTTAATTAAAACCAGACTTACTTTATGATAAACTGAGGAGTGGGAGGGAGAAAATGAGATTAAGAAGTAAATGGCTCTTTTAGTAAACAGCTATTACTGAACACTTCTAGCCTTACTGAGAGCTTAAAATAGCGCAATTTAGAGAAGCTAGAGAGGAGCCAATGACTGTAAACATAGCCTGGGGTTGGGGCAAATGCAGTTCAGAATCTCTTCCCCCCTCCCTCCCATTTCTAGCAAAAGCATCATAAAGCTGTGTTTTATTACTCCCTAACAGTACTTGAACACCAAACCTACCTTCCTTTAACTCTTTAACTAATTCACATTGCCCTTTCAAAAACAGAAATTGACTTTGACCTATGGCAACCCTATAAGTTCTCCAAGTCACCCTATCAACAGTCCTGCTCAGGTCTTGCAGATTCAGGGCTGTTGCTTCCTTGATTGACTCTATAGCTCTGTATTTAAGGGCCTCATCACATGAGGCAAATTAAATGTCCTAGGACACTTTTGGGACACTTCCTCTTCATTGCCTACTGGATGCAACTTCTTGACTGCATCCTGACTCTGGTGCAGGGGGCTCCCCTCGGAACACAGGAGGCTTCCATGTTCCATAGAAAACTACGAGCACAAGCTGCAGCAAGTGATGCTTCCCAGCATAGGATGGGGAAACATTAGCTATGGTCAAGGTGGTGTGTGGGGAATCAGACTGCCCCGCTGATTCAACATGAGTGGTGGCAAATTGCCCCATAGAACTTCATCCATGTGGTGAAGTACATAGTCTCCCTCTTTTCCTTCTTCCTTCCATATTATCCAGCATTATAGGCAGTCCTCAACTTATGAACAAGATAGATTCTGTAGGTTAGTTCTTAAGTTGAATTTCTTTGTAAGTTGGAGGTACACTTTTAAGTAGAACAACCTATCTATCTGTTTGTCTATCTATCCATATAAGCTTTGGATAGCATAGAGAAGAGTTAACACCCTTGTGGCATTTGTTTTGCTGTCTGTGCCCCTCTTCAGAAGATTTCACTTCACTTACTTTCCCAATAATAATTAGATTTTGAAAAAAATGGCTTTTCATGGAAACAAGGATGGGAAATAAAACTTCAGTGATGACATCTTTTCCCCATAACTCTTTCATGAGTAATTTTCTCTTCTTGGGGTAGATTTCTCTCATTTCCTGTTGTCTCAGCCCCATTCTTAACTTTGAGTCATTTGTAAGTTGGATGCTTATAATTTGGGGACTGCCTGTACTGCTTTTTCAATGAGTCATGCCTTCTCATGAAGTGTCCAAAACACATTTAGTTAATCTTGAATTCCATAGTTTAGGATTGATTAGATTCAGGAACCTATTGCTACTATCTTTTTATTAGTCCACAGCATCCACAGAACTCTTCTGAAGCAGCACATTTCAAAGGAGCTGATTTTCTTTCTTTCAGCTTTCTTCACTGTCCAGCTTCACAACCATACTGAGAAATGGAGAATAAGATGGAATAGGCAATCTTAACTGTAGTAGTATTCAATAACGTATCTTGACAATTCTGGGTCTTATCTAGTTCCTGCTTAGCTGTCCTCCCAAACAGCTTTTTGACCGGAGTCTTTTTGACCGGAGTCCCCATTCTACTTAATGACTGAACCAAGGAGTGTAAAATTCTGAATTATTTCAATGCTTTCATTGTGTATTCTGGCAAAACTGTGCTCATAAATTACTTTTAAAAATGCATGTTGGTTTTAGATGAATTAGGTGTTCTAAATCCAAAAATGATATCAGATTTACTCCACTATATGCAGGGTTTCTCCCCAACTTGCACTGACATTTTTATTTTGTAATATGTGGCCACAAAAGATTTCTTTGAAGAGAAAACAATGAATAGTAAGAAATGTGTTAAATTCTTCTAAACAGATTTCCAAAACATGTTATTAGCTGATATGAAATACAAAAATGCAGGGCACATACAGGTTTAAATTGACCTAAATTAATAAAATCAATCTGTTTTAAAATTCAAATGAACCTGAGTTGTCCCCTTAGTATGCTAACCAAGTTCCATGTATCTTGGTTCCAGGTCTTTTGCTCTTAGCATTACATATTATTTTCAACTAATATATTTTTTATATTTTTTATTTTATTTAAGTAGACATACATTTGCAAGTGTTTGTTGCATACAGTGCAATACTTTCTATCTATTAATGTTCTATAATCATTTATCTGATAATATATTTCCATTAAGGGGTCACGGTCAACTATCTAAATGATACATATAAAGATATCATAGACTCTTACTTTACATCTGCTTCTTCCTTGTCTACAATCTTATAGGATCCTATATATATATATATATATATATATATATATATATTAGTTTAACTTTACATTAATGTGTTGAATCATTGGTTGCCATTCATTAACAAAGTTGTCTAATAGTTCTCCTCTTAATAATATTGTTATTTTGTCCATTATCAGCATATCTGTAATATATTTTTCCCACTCTTCTAAAGGTGGTATAATTAACTATATTAATTGGAATTACTTGATTTCATGCTCTCTGTATTCTATTTTATTAATATAGATAAATAAATAGGCAAACCATTTTGTCATAGACTCATGTCAGAAAGCAGGGGGTGAGTTGGTGCACAAAGTTGGTACACAATAAAGAGGACTGGGAGTGTATAGGCCCACGTACTGTTTTCAGTTTGCTGAACTATAGTCCAACAAGGCAGGTTTTATTTAACCTGAAAACCATGAATATATTGACATCAGGTTTTAAAGTACAGGTATTCTCTTTTTCTCAATCCTCCACTCTCTCTTACACCCCAGAATTACCAAAAAAGGGCCCAATTCAGAATAATAACATTGATGTTAATTTTAAAAATCCTTTAGAGAAAGCCCTGAAATGCCAGACATTTATTTATGTGTTTTATTTAAAGCATTTTTACCAGTTCATTAGCAGAAGGGTTCCTACCAGACCGACATAAGATCAATACAAACAAGACAGTCACAATTGGGGGTGTAAATCTTTCCCAATTTAATTCTTTTATGAAATAATGAATAATAATTGCCAAATTGTTCTCCCCTCTATGTGAAAATATTATGGCTTTTTGTGTATTATATGGGTTTACACAATTTCTATTAAAATTATTTGTGCAAAAAAACTGCTCTAAAAAAAGCAAAGATTTGAGTGTGTGTAAAAATGTATGGTTTTGCCCCCAAAAGTAACCAAAATGGTCTCCCCATCATAAACATTTCACCATTTGTATTAGGATATTTGCATGTATGCATATACATATTAGTGCATAACTGAGTAATTTTTTTTTATAAAAAAAAAACTTCTGGTGACTGTCCCCCATCCCTCTCCTTTTTTTTTCCTGAGACACAAAAGGGCTATGAGGATGGTGGGGGAGAAAGCCCGGGACCAGCAGGACTCGCTCTGAGGTCCCAGGTTTGTTTATCCTGCATATTCATCCTGTGCTTTGGTGCTGTCTGGAGGTGCCCTTAGAGAACGGGTTCACAAAATTGTGCTATACCTTAATACAATACCCTCCAAACAGTTGAGCTCAAGCATAGGTAATACAAATCTACTGTATTGTCGAAGGCTTTCATGGCCGGAATCACTCAGTTCTTGTGGGTTTTTTCGGGCTATATGGCCATGTTCTAGAGGCATTTCTCCATGTTCTAGAGGCCCGAAAAAACCCACAAGAACTGAATACAAATCTACTGCTTGCACCAGTGCAGTAGAAATCTTGGAAATCTTGGGATTTCCAAGATGGAGTAAGTTAATGGCTAACTTCACCAGTTCAAAAATGTCCAGACAGTGGATCTCTAACATCATCTGGCATCTGATTTGGAACTATTGTCCCTTTAACTCTGCTGGAATGTAAGATTTGTGTTAGTGCTATAATATATTTCTGTGGATTGGGTTTACAGTAGAAAAGGATGCAGACTTGAACTCAGCAGAAAACAAGTTGCTCCCTCCTCCATATGTGAGAGGAAGCCACAGGGAGGAGGGAGCAAGCTTGTTTTCTGCTTCCCTGGAGACTAGGATGCGGAACAATGGCTTCAAACTACAAGAAAGGAGATTCCATCTGAACAAGAGGAAGAACTTCCTGACTGTGAGAGCCGTTCAGCAGTGGAACTCTCTGCCCCGGAGTGTGGTGGAGGCTCCTTCTTTGGAAGCTTTTAAACAGAGGCTGGATGGCCATCTGTCAGGGGTGATTTGAATGCAATATTCTGCTTCTTGGCAGGGGGTTGGACTGGATGGCCCATGAGGTCTCTTCCAACTCTGATTCCATGATTCTATGACTCAGCTCAGGGAAGAATACTAATCTAGCTAAATGTTGGAACTGAAAAATGTTGGTGGGTACTAGCCCAGAAAAGGCTAGTCTTTGAAAACAAAAGAAAATGGAAATGATGGTAAAAAGCATATAACAAACATCTAGAGAGAGGGACAAAATAATAATCAAGTCAAGTCATAAAGGCAATTTGAAACAGGACCAAAAAGGCATTTGGCAGGTATTGATAGACATTCATGTCAAAAGAGTCACTTTCCATATTCTGGCCACATCTTGCTAAGAGAATACACTTTAATAAAATTAATGAGCTAGAAAGATGAATGTCATATAATGGGTATGACAAAGGGCATTTTGTGTGTACTTTGGTTTTGGCATAAGAAGATACACATTAACTGCTGGTACTAAAATTGTAACTTGGAAAGTCAGAAAGAAATAGACTTGGAAGTTAGAAAAAATAAACAATGCATAAAAACAAAGAAAGTAAAAATATTAAATGGAACTAGACAGAGTCTAAAACATCCGGTGATCAAATCTTTATGCAACCAATTCTGTTAAGAATCAGAAGGTGATATATCTTATGAGGTCATCTTTGTGACTAACACAAAGTACGTTATGACCTCAGAAGAATAGTTCTTTTGGTTGGAATTTGTCAATAAAAAATAAGGTGTACTGAGAATTTTAAAAGGTCCATTTATCAAGCATATAAGAAGAGAGACACATGTCAGGCTTTTCAGAAACACTCTGAAAAGATATCTGAATTAACTTTCATATGAATACAATCACAAGAAGAGATATTTGACCCTAAATGTGTAACTTCATAGAAAATCCAACAACTGAAAAAAATTATACAGCATGCAATCCAAGTGAAAAAAAATGTAGACTGAAAAGTATCTGGTCTAAAAGTTAGTCTCTCAAAAGGAAGAAATTGATAACAGAATATTTAACACTAGAAAATGTTAAGAACAGGCTTCTGTATAAAATGTTTTAATATTAAATAGCAACATATCAATCAATACCCAGCCAACCAGTATCTTACATCTTTGATTTCATCCATATATACGACTAACTTTTCCAACATGTAAGCCAAATAGATAATGTCCAGCTTATCTGCAAAGTTGGCAGCATCTCTTGTATAGGTTGCAAGCTGATGGGAAAATTCAAGTGCATTGGTGGCATTAAGATGCATCTAGAAACAAAAATACAAAATAATACTTGACTCTAAATGTCAGCTGAAAGGTTTTAACTGCCAATGATATGCATTTATTCATCATCATGTAAAATTATGCAATCTAAAATAGAATGCACCATGTCTAGCAAAGGGATGGCCAAAGTGTGTCCCACAATTACCTGTAACCCACAGAACCATTTTGACACACCTCAGGGGTCCACATTTCAAGAATAGTAACCTTTAAGTAAATAATGAGGTGCTCTACACACTTGCACCATATTTTAAAGCCTCAGCTTTTCTTTAAATAAGAAAGTGATTATATCTTTTGGTTTGGTCATGTCATGGTTTTGACATCTTAGAGGCTGAAAAAATCCTTACAAGCTGAAAGAAGGTCTCAATGGGGCTTTAAAAATGAGGCATAATGTGGCAAAATGGAAAATAGAACTCTTCAAAACCTTATGAATGCTACTGGTTATTTTAGAGCTAAAACTCCAGCTGTTCAGTTCCATAACCCATTTCAATTCCATTGTGTTAAACTCTTGCACCAGCAGGACTGAAGACCGACAGGTCACTGGTTTGAATCCGGGGAGAAAGTGAATGAGCTCCCTCTATCAGCTTCAGCTTCCTGTTGTGGAGACATGAGAGAAGCCTCCCACAAGGATGATAAAACATCAAAACATCCGGGCATCCCCTGGGCAATGTCTTTGCAGACGGCCAATTCTCTCACACCAGAAGCAACTTGCAATTGCTCAAGTTGCTCCTGACACGAAAAAAAGGTTCCATATACTGGTGGTAAGAAAAGATGCGTATGATAACAAGAGGATGGCTTGCCAAGGTCCCACAAGTGAACAAAACAGCCCAACAATCTTGGCATTTGTCTACCCCCTAATTCAGTGGGAGACAGTTTAAAGCTAAGAGCAACTAAAGTTTGGTTGACCGTCAGCTGGCTCTATTGCAACTGTGGGAGTACTAGGATGTATCTTAACTTATGACCTTCATAAATGTACAACCATATGAAAGGTGAGGATGTATGCCACAAAAAATCATACTTGAGAATCTGTAACTTAAGATGTTTACATTTTCCTTTAGATAACAAAGGGGTAAACTTTGGCTCCTGTGCTATATGCCGATAAGAGACATACTAGTATAAAACATCTACAGAACACTCAGTGCATAATGATGTTGTCATTTTACCTGACTAAAGGCATGAAGGACTTGAGTTGCTTCTTGTGAATAAGGACATTCTGAATAGCTTTCTTCAGCCCACCGACCAGTGCGGTTACACTTACGCCATGCTTTTGATTCTTCTGATCCACTCAAAAGAGAAGCTGAATTTAGTGAGTACTGAAGACAGGGGTGGTAAACAGTTACACCAGCCAGAGTTTTAGGCCATCTACAAGCAAGATAGCAATACACAATATTATATACTTTGCAATGTCAAATCATAGAAAGTTGTTGCTGTGTGCCTTTAAGTAGTTTCTGACTTATGGAGCCTCTAGGGTCAACTATTGCATGGTTTTCTTAGCAATACTTGTTCAAAGGGGGATTGCTTTTGTCCTCCTGTATGGCTGAGAGAGTGTAATGTGTCCAAGGTCGCCCAATGAGTTTCTAGAGCAAAGCTCAGGTTTGAGCCCTATGTCTTCAGTGTTGTAGTCCAGCATCTAAATCACAATACCACATGTGTTCTCATCATATGCATACAAGGTGTGTTTAAAAAATATCCAACCATAATTTATAGTGCGTAAACAAATGAAGCAAGGCAGGCATAGTTTGGTGCACGCATGTAGTGATCCTAATGCTCATGCTTGGATTTTTTCCTGCTTACAGAAGCTGACAGCCACTGACAGACAGCTGATGAGTGAGGAAGTGTAAGTAAACGCCATCTGATTTTTGGTTTTGACAAAATGACAGAAAATCTTGAACAATGCTACTGCATTAAATTTTGTGTAAAGTTTGGCAATTCCCAAATGGAACTAATCCGCAAGATTCAACAGGCCTTTGGGAACAAAGAAATGGACACTACACAGATAAAGGAGTGGTACAACAATGACTTCAAAGATGTCAGTGGAGAGTGAAGCATGTCCTGGTAGGCCCTCAACATCAGAAATGAGATCGTCATTGACCAAGTGGGAAGCAGGATCATAGAATCACGATCAGAGAACTTGCAGACAAGGCAAGCATCAGCATTGGATCTGTTTGTTCCATTTTAACTGAGGATCTGGGCTTCAGGAGAATCTCAGCGAAGTTCGTGCCAAAGATGGTAACAACTGAGCAGAAGCAACTCAGTTGAGCAGAAGCAACTCAGCAGCAACTGAGCAGAAGCAACTCAGCAGCAACACAGGACATGCTGCAGACTGTGAACAGTGATGCCAACTTCCTCAAAACAATGATCACTGGCGATGAGTCCTGGGTTTATGGGCACGACCCAAAAACCAAGTTGTAGTCATCGCAATAGAAGCATCCAACATCCCCAAGGCCAAGAAAAGCAAAGCAGGTCAGCAGCAATGTCGAAGTCATGTTGACTGTCTTCTTTGACTCTACTGGTGTGGTTCATCATGAGCACGTACCACACGGCACAATCATCACCAAGGAGTACTACCAAGAGGTTCTGCATTCCCTTCTTAATGCTGTGAGACACAAAGGGATGGACCTGTGGACAATGGGCAATTGGCAGCTCCACGAAGATAAAGCACACACCCATTCTTCACATTTGATACAGAGTTTCCTGGCCAAACACAACACACCTGTGCTTTATTAGGCTCCCTACTCTCCTGACGTGACTCTGTGTGACTTCTGGCTTTTCCCCAAGTTGAAAATGCCCCTGAAAGAAATCAGATTTCAGTCCAGAGAAGACATCGTGCAGAATGTGATGGACCAGCTACGCACCAACTTAAAAGAGGTGTTTTAGTGCTGCATCCAACAGTTGCAGAACCTTGGTAGAAATGTGTGACAGATGAAGGGGACTAATTTGAAGGTGATTAGTGTAAGATTGTTGTATCTTAATACAAACTTTTCTATGAATTAAGTTTGGATACTTTTTGAACACACCTCATATTTCTAGGGAATATGGACTTCCAAATTAACTGGTACTGCATTATCCACATGGACGCTAGAAGTTAGAAACCAGAAGCTGTAAGTGGTACTCCATGACATTGTATTATAAAGTCGTAATCTGTGCCAAAAATACATTCTCAATAAAAAGCAAGAGAAATTGGTAGAATATATGTGAACAGGAGGTTAATTTGGAACAAATGAAGACTGCGATTTGCTCTGTGGATGATTACATAGGAAATCATAGTAGATTAATCAGGTAAAACATTCTACCTACTCCACTACTGATGGTAACACCTGTTTCAATTGCTTCATTTCTTCCTTACCAGTATCCTCACATTTGATTAGATCATAATATTAGTTTTACATCTTTTTACAAAATTTAGTTTTCCTTCTTCCTCTCTTGTCACCCACTTTCCAGCATGCCTATTACACTGTTAAATGCAGAGGCGGTACCTTATTGTCTTTTAATTATTAGCAATTAATTAATCAATTAGTAATTCAATTAGTAATTTATCAGAACATTAGTACCAACATCATTCATAACAACAGTTGTAGTAGTAGATGCAGTAGTGGTATCATTACTTTGCTCAATTTTACTTTCAGATAAAAAAAATCAATTTATGTTTGAGTGAAAAATTATAATAGACCACCCTGAAAGCTATCAGCTGATTTGTGGCTATTATGGTTCTGATTTGAAAACATACTAGAGAATGAAAAGAAATTACATGCATGGATTTTCTCCTGAGTCCCAATAATCACTTTCCTTTTTAGATCTCAAAAATCATAAGCCATTAAAGTTCCAGCAATTGGAAAAATATTTACATTGCTGGAATGCTGCTTCACAAAAAGAAAAAAAGTGACTGTCAACAAGAAGGAACAACTAGGGCCCATTCTTCCAATATATGGGCATATCATCCTTAATCCAACTGCTAATCCGAATCACAACTGCCCCATTAAATCAATGGGATTTACATATAGATTGTAGTAATTGATTTAATGGGACTACTTCCACAACTTGATTTAAACCATCATTTCCAATATACAGGTGCATTAAAAAAAACAAAAACAAATGGAGGATCGCTTCATAACACAAGTTCCCTCAGTTCAAAGATTTACCACTTGGAAAAGTATTAAAATATGTAGTCTTCCAGTGTGTGTGTATTTCAGACAAAAATGAAATAAGAAAGCTTCTATATAATAGTGAATGTCCTTGAATTACTTCTAACTGGCATTAGTGCGAAGTATTTGACCACGTTATTCTTTTTTGACAGAGTCTGAGGCTGGATCTACACTGCCCTATATCCGAGGATCTGATCCCAGATTATCCTCTTTGAACTGGATTATATGAATCTACACTGCCAGATTACTTACTTACTAAGTACTGACTTACTAAGGTGATCCCTCGTAGCCCCAAGATGATAGTCCTCCAAGTGGAATGCATTAGTGGTGGGTCTGTAGGTGGCTGTGGAGCCCTATTTTTGATCCGCATGTTCTCCAGCAGTGAGGATATCAGTTTCCAGGTGGAAGGTGGTCCAGGTCATTACATTTCCCAGTCTTGTGTTGGGAGTATAGTAATTGCTTCAGGAGATCCTGATCAGGCATTCGGACAACATGGCCAATCCAGCAGAGTTGATGGCGTAGGGGCACTGGTTCAATGCTAGTGGCCTTTCCTTCTACCAGCATGTTGATATTTTTCCACATGTATTCCCAGATTTGCAGGATTTTTTGGCGGCAACACTGATGGAATCATTCCAGGAGTTGAGTGTGATGACTGCAGACAGTCCACATTTTGCAGGTATATAACAGGGTTGGGAGGGCAATAGCTTTATAAACAAGCACCTTCCCCTCCCTATGGATGTCCCGGTCCTCAAGCTCAGGCAGTTTTGTATTTCAGTGTGTGGATTTTTGTACCAGATAATCTTGGATAAACAGATGTGTGATACAGAGCAGTATAGATCCAACCAGAGGGCCCTTCCACACAGACATATAACCCAGAATATCAAAGCAGAAAATCCCACAATATCTGTTTTGAACTGGATTATCTGAGGGAACACCCAGACAGCCCCTTTAACGTGGGAGTTGCTGCAATAAAAAGGGGGCTTACCAGATGGTTTTCCCCTGACATTAAGTCCAGCCATATCTGACTCTGGGGGTTGGGTGCTCATCTCCATTTCTAAGCTGAAGAGCCGGTGTTGTCCGTAGACACCTCCAGGGTGATGTGGCTGGCATGACTGCATGGAGCACTATTACCTTCCTGCCGGAGCAGTACCTATTAATCTACTCACAATTGCATGTTTTCAAACTGCTAGGTTGGCAGAAGCTGGGGCTGATAGCGGAAGCTCACGCCGCTCCCTGGATTTGAACCTGCGACCTATTGGTCAACAAGCTGAGCAGCTCAGTGGTTTAACCCACTGCGCCACTCTGGACAAACCTGAATTAATTCACCACAAACCAGGAAAACCCTGGTTTGTGGTGAATTAATTTGTTTGTGGGTTTTTTCTGCACCTTCTTGGAAGTCTGGTGTCTGGACTGTAGTCCAGACAGTATTCCCATGGTTTTCCAGGCTAAATTAGCACAGAAAACTGTGAGAACTCCAACCCCCCTCCCCAAAAGACCCCCAAAGTACTGTAAAAAAAACCTTACCCGGCCTCCATCAGAGGCCTACTGGAGCTCTCCTGGCGCAAACAAATGATGCACCAGGAGAAAGGGGGAGAGGAAAATCGCTCCTCCCCCCTTTCTCCTGGCGTGTCATTTGTATGTGCCAGGAAAGCTCTGGCAACCCTCTAATGGAGGCCGGGTACGTTCTTTTGTTTTTTACGCTGCTTTGGGGGGCTTTTTGGGAGGGGTTAGTGTGTCTGGGTGTTCTCCTGGAAAGTTCCTGGAGAACATCTGGAAACCCACCTCAGAAAGCATATGGTCAAGTGCCCTGAGTCCACACTACCATATATTCCAGTTCAAAGCAGAAATGTTAGATTTTATTCATCTATGTAGAAGGGGCCAGAGAGAGCCATGTCTTCTGAAATCTGAACTAAACTACAAAAAGAAAGAAAAGGGGCCTTCATATTCCACACCTTGCTAGCTACCAAAATAACTCATTATGAAGAAAAAAGGTGTTGAAAAAAAATAAATTAGGGCCAGAATTTTATAAATAGTGAAAACATGTAAGAAATGCCCTGTTCTTTAGTGTATATTTTCACTGTTTATGACATTCTAACCCCGATTTATTTTGCCTTGCTTTTGGATTGAATGCCACTTTTAGTGAACCACTGACTACACTAATGTTTATGTGTTAAAATATAGGTGTTCCTATGCTTTTAAGAGAATCTACACACAGGACATGCTATCTATAACATAGGTTCTTCGGCAATGAAAAAATGCCTGAGAATACTACTATACTGTATTATCAAGGTTTAATGTAAGGAAATGCTAGTATACCATCAGTCTGCCACTTTAAAAATAGAATATAATGAGAAAGAAACAAAACAAATCCAGCCATCACCCCATAATAGCTTTTGTTCACTGAGGCTTGCATTACATATCCTTACAGAAAGTTTTCAATTACAAATACCACCTGGGCCTGTCAGCTGAAAAGACTCACCTTTTCCATTACATTTAATGCTTGCCGTTTCTTTTTAAAATGAAAAGTGAGTTTTGCTTTTGTGGCAGTGATGTCTTGCTTCCTACCTATTTGCTATAATATCAAAACCTCAAAGACCTTTTCATGATAAATTATTGGCATGCAAGCTGCATCCAAGAGGAGAAGCCTTTCAAGGAAGCTTCAGGTGTTAATGCTAACTTTAGTTTCAAAGATGTTCTCTCAAATTCTGAATTCATTACTTTGAAATGCCAAAGGAATCTATGGACTCAGCATGCTTTTGATGTACATGTCTAAAATAAATTTGTGTGGACTTTCTAAAAGATGATCAATAAGGACAGAAATGTGAATTCCTGGGCTTTTTTGATTTATAGCAAATGAAATGGCAAAACGCCTTTGGCGTTAGTTGAGCATTTATATATCTTTTATTTATAAAGAAGAAGATGACATTTACTGGCAAGGGACGGAAGAGTTTCTTAATGAAAGCTGCATTATGTAGCACTCAGTACAAGCTTATCTAATACATTTTAAAAGTGACTCATTATAAAAGACCTCAAGTTGAGCTTCTCCGTGCGGAGGAGAAATGCAATGTGTCTACAGGGATGGTCTCTTGAACCTTTCAATGCAAAACAATGTTTTCTGCTTCTCAGAAGGCTGTGTCGCCTTCTGTTACGTCTTCTGTCAAGATTTCCATTCTGGCAACTGACAGTGAAACAATAAAGCCTTTCTCAAAACTAAAAATTAAGTTATCCAAGTGTAATGCCACTAAGGATTATTTAAACTTCTCAAGGATACAATTATGGGAGGAAAATGTCTCATTTCTATCACCAGGCTAGCACCAGTCTGCTTGAAAAGACAAGTTTTGGTCTAAGGATCTCATCACATAAATTATGGGATTCACCATGCAAATCTGGTGGGGCTTGGTGGGGGATACAGGGAACCCATTGCCCTGCATCACCCACCTTGCCTCTCACCTCATCCCACAGGGGGAAGTGTCCCCCCATCTGGCTTCTCCTCCGTTGTTGACTACACAACACAGGAAGTCTCCCTTATAGCTGTCACAGCAGCTTACCATGCTTTCAGTTCACCTGCACCACAGTCATACGAAAGCTGACTGGCACAACCTGGGGATCAAAACCAGATACAGTGAAGATATCTGCCCTTGCGCTATGCTACTCTGCTGCTGAGTATGCATGCCCAGTGTGGAACACATCTCACCACGCTAAAACAGTGGATGTGGCTCTTATTGAGAAATGCCGCATTATCACAGGGTGTCTGCACCCCACACCACTGGAGAAATTACACTGTTTAGCCGGTATTGCACCACCTGACATCCACCGGGAAGTAGCAGCCAATAGTGAAAGGACCAAGGCAGAGACATCTCCAGCTCATCCCTTGTTTGGGTATCAGCCAACACGTCAATGACTTAAATCAAGAAATAGTTTTCTAAGATCTACAGAGACAGTCGATGGAACACCTCAGCAAGTGAGAGTCCAAAAGTGGCAGGCTCAAACCAAGAACCTCAATCAATGGCTGATACCAAATGAGAGACTTCCCCCTGGACACACAGAAAACTGGGCGACTTGGAAGGCGCTGAACAGACTGCGCTCTGGCACCACAAGATGCAGAGCCAACCTCAAGAAATGGGGCTACAAAGTAGACTCCACGACATGTGAGTGTGGAGAAGGGCAAACTACAGACCACCTGCTGCAATGTAACCTGAGCCCCGCTACATGCACAATGGAGGACCTCCTTGCAGCAACACCAGAGGCACTCCAAGTAGCCAACTACTGGTCGAAGGACATTTAATCAACTACCAAGCTTGCAAACTCTGTTTTGTCTGTTTGTTAAAAATTTGTTAAAAATGTAATACAATTGACTGGTTGATACTGACATATGGGTGAATGAAACCTAGACATTGAATTCATGGATAAAGGGGTTGCACTATACTGTGGTTTTATTCTGGTTAAATTACTTCAATTATTTTAATATTAAATTGTCTCAAAATTGGTTACATTGATTGTATTTTGTGGTGCCCTGAGTTCTCAAGATACTGGGTGGGAAATAAATATTGTAATCAACCAATCAATCAAAATCATACCTGAAATCTCCTTTATTGTTAATTATTCTTTCAGCAGGACAGTAAGGTGCAGCTGTTTCTAGTACAACTATTTCCACCTGCTTAGAGATGTTTCCATAGGAGTTGTTGATCATACATTCCCACATTCCTGTTGCTTCAAGATCAATGCTGGACAAGATAAGTTCTCTACAAGAGATTTAAAAGGAAACAAATGAAAAATATAACAGAAACATATGCAGATCTGAGTACTTCATAGCTTTCAGTAAGTGACTCAAATTTTTCTATTACTTTTTAGTCTACCCAATCAAGGTAACAATGAGGTCAGTGAAATCTTTGTGTTATACAGTGATACCTTGACTTAAGAGTTTAATTTGTTCTATAACCAAACTCTATTTGTTTTATTACTCAAAATGCTCATTTCTCAAAGCAAATTTTCCCATTGAAATGCTTTTAATCCATTCTGGACTCCTGAAACCCATCCACTCACTCCCATTTTTCTTACATATTTTTAAATTAGAAAAATGTAGGTTCTTGTGGGTTTTTTCGGGCTATAGGGCCATGTTCTAGAGGCATTTCTCCTAACGTTTCGCCTGCATCTATGGCAAGCATCCTCAGAGGTAGTGAGGTCTGTTGGAAATTTCCATGGTGAACCTAGTGATTCCAGCCATGAAAGCCTTCGACAATACATAGAAAAATGTATTTTATAAATAACCAATAATGTATAAATGCGCATTCGCATGGAACAATGCAAAAGAAAAATCAACTTTAAAAAGATAGAAGCGCAAAGTTGTGGCAAAGAAGAACAAAGTGAAGGGGCAGAAGCATCATTTTCTTCACACTTGCGCAATTGGTGGGGATGAGGGACAGGGCCTTCTCAGTGGTGGCCCCTCGACTCTGGAACTCACTTCCCAGGGACATCAGACATGCCCCAACACTGGCAGTCTTTAGGAGGAGCCCGAAAACGTGGTTGTTCCAGTGTGCCTTCCCAGAATAAGGAAACTCTCAGCAATATGTCCCTAAACACACTTTATTAGTGATCTAGGATTGTCTGCATGCTCTATCCTTCTCCAAAATTTCTATCCTGTTTATATGTCACCTGGTCACGCCCAGCATTTTTTAAAAAAAATTAATTATTACATTTGGCCCAGCCATAGGTTTTTTAATGTTTTCGTGTTATTGTTAATGTTTATTGCGATTTTCTGTTTATGAGTTTTATTTATTGTTTGTATTACTGTTGCTATTGTTTTTATTGTTGTATTGTGGGCTCAGCCTCATGTAAGCCGCACCGAGTCCCTTGGGGAGATGGTAGCGGGGTACAAATAAATTATTATTATTATTATTATTATTATTATTATTATTATTATTATTATTATAGCCTCTCTTGCTTTCTCTCCCTCTCTCTTTCCATGAAGCCAAACATACCAAGAAAAAAATCACACAAAATCAACTAACTCAAAGCAGACAAGAAGAAAGCAGACAGCAATCTTCCAAAGTGGACAAGAACACGAGGCACAGAGGCTGCTCCCCTGAAGCCCTAAAGCTCTGTATTCTCGCATTAATGCTCCCTCTGGCACTAGCTCTTAACTCAAAATACTGCTCTTATGTCAAAGTGAAACCCAGAATGAGCTCTAAACTCAAAATACTTTTAAGTTGGGGTGCTCTTAAGTAGAGGTTCCACTGTAATATTTATATATTTATAAATTAAAAGAGGGAAGTGGAAGGTATAAAGAGAAATCTGGTAGCACCTTGAAGACTAATCGATTTTTATTTTAACATGAGCTTTTCTTCATATCAACCTACAACTCACAAAAGCTTGTGTTAAAATAAAAACCAGTTAGTCCAAAGGTTCTGCTAAATTCCTTTTTTTCTCCCCCTCATCCTCCTTTTCATGGTGCAAGAGACATACACAGCCAATTCTTTGAAGACTAATACTGTACATATTTATGGAGACATGTCATTGATGCTAGGGATGATTGACATCTGAGGGACAGCTCACAATGTTAGAGGTATCTCCTTTTACCGCTGAGTTCCAGTACATTTGGCTTCTTGTCATGTTCTGTCATAAACAGAAGCATATACCAAAATTCAATTGCACTTAGATAAGAAGTACATAAAACATATCAATAGTGGTGTGGTTTTGACAGTATAGTAAATTTTATTTACCTTAGGCCATATCACAATACCAAACCAAACAAAAAGGCTTCATAATACCCGATTACACTCTATATAATCTATATAAATAAAAATGTAATGTTCATTTGTGGGATTAACATAACTCAAAAACCACTGGATGAATTGACACCAAATTTGGGCACAAGACACCTCTCAGGCCAATGTATGTCCTTCACTCAAAAAAAAAAAAACACTGAAAACAGAAAGGGACTTAAAAAGCCCCCAAAGCTAAATGACAATACAGTAAAAAGGAAGAAAGAGGGAGGAAGGGGAGAAAAGAAAGAAGGAAAGAAGAAAGAAAGAAAGAAAGAAAGAAGGAAAAGGAAGAAAGGAAGAGAGGGAGGGGAGGGAGGGAGGGAGGGAGGGAGGGAGGGAGGGAATGAAGGAGGAAGGAAGGAAGGAAGGAAGGAAGGAAGGAAGGAGGAAGGAAGGAAGGAAGAGGAAGGGAGAAGGAAGGAAGGAAGAGAAGGAAAAGGAGGGAAAGAAAAAGGGAAGGAAAGTTAGAGAAAGAAGAGGAGAGAGGAAAGAAAAAAGGGAAAGAAGGAAGGAAAGAGGGAGGAAGGAGGAGAAGAGAAGAAGAGAAAGAAAAGGGGGGAAGGAAGGAAAGAGATAGAAGAAGAGAAGGAAACAGGAAGGAAGGAAAGAGGGAGTGAAGGAAGGAGGGAAAGAATGAGAGAAAGAGGGAAGGTTGGCCATAGCAACACGTGGTGGGTACAGCTAGTAAGTTAAATAAAACATATTAAAAAAAGTTAAATAGCCTCTGTATATGTTTGTATGTCAAAAATTGGCATTGAAAGTGCACCATATATGTGTACACTGTAATCCGTCCCGAGTCCCCTGCGGGGTGAGAAGGGCGGAATATAAAAGCTGTAAATAATAAATAAATAATAAATAAATATGATAAAACTCATCCCCGATGGCGCAGTGGGTTAAACCGCTGAGCTGCTAAATTTGTTGACCGAAATGTCACAGGTTCGAATCCGGGGAGCGGCATGAGCTTCCACTGTCAGCCCCAGCTTCTGTCAACCTAGCAGTTCAAAAACATGCAAATGTGAGTGGATCAATAGGTACCGCTCCAGCGGGAAGGTAACGGCGCTCCATGCAGTCATGCTGGCCACATGACCTTGGAGGTGTCTATGGACAATGCTGGCTCTTCGGCTTAGAAATTGAGATGAGCTCCAACCCCCAGAGTCAGGCATGACTAGACTTAATGTCAGGGGAAAACTTTCAGAAATGCAAGAAAGTACAATGTTTATGTCAAAGCGTTCATTGTATCCAAAACTCTAGGCTGAATTTAAAGAACATTCTCACAGATCAGACTAACTCCCTTGCAGGTATTTTGATGCCAGCCAAATATTTATAAGTGACACATTAATGGGCAAAAATGTCAGGAAATGGTATTCGCTTCCTTATGAAGTAGCGAATTGCTGTAAAGGTTAAAGAAACTGACTAGTGATATAAAGCCTAGATATCTCAGATGACAGTATTGCCATTCAAGCCATGTTGACCCATCAGGGCAGTCAACACCTTCTATAAAGGTGATACTGGGTAACCTTTACTTTATAATCTCTCAACTGTGTAGTCTGCTTAAACACAAAATTGCTGTACTTGCTCTCTCACTCCATCTCTTTCAAATTGTTATGTACTTTCTTGCAGCTTACCATTTAAAAAGAGAAAAATAAAAAAGCTCTCCTCGAGCAGAAGTGTCAAATATAAGGGTGAAAGGTTTTCATCCAGATTTTTTTCCTGCTGTATGAGTCTCAGAATCGTAGAGTTGGAAGCAACTACAATGACCAGACTTTCCCTTATCTCTTTTCTTGACAGAGTTACAAGCTTGGTAGATGAAAGGAATGCTGTGGATATAGCGTATTTCGATTTCAGTAAGACCTTTGAGAAGGTTCCCCATTACATTCTCACAAAGAAGCTAGTAAAATGTGGGCATGCTACTGTAGGTTTAAAGTTGAGAATTACTCAGGCCCCATCTACACTGCCATATAATAACAGTTTTATAATGCGTAACTGCACTGAACTTCATTATATGGCAGTGTAGACTCATATAATGCAGTTCAAAGCAGATAAACTGCATTATTTGGCAGTGTAGATTCTTACCATCACTGCAATAAACTTGATAAGACCAAGGTTTATTGTGATAAATTGCAATGGAATGTCTGGATCATAGAATCATAAAGTTGGAAGAGACCTCATGGGCCATCCAGTCCAACCTCCTGCCAAGAAGCAGGAAAATCACATTCAAAGCACCCCTGACAGATGGCCATCCAGCCTCTGTTTGAAAGCCTTGACCACACTCGGGGGCAGAGAGTTCCACTGCTGAACAGCTCTCACAGTCAGGAAGTTCTTCCTACTGTTCAGATGGAATCTCCTTTCTTGTAGTTTGAAGCCATTGCTCCACGTCCTAGTCTCCAGGGCAGCAGAAAACAAGCTTGCTCCCTCCTCCCTAGGACTTCCTCTCACATCTTTATACATGGCCCTCATAATGTCTCCTCTCAGTCTTCTCTTCTGCAGGCTAAACATGCCCAGCTCTTTAAGCTGCTCCTCATAGTGCTTGTTCTCCAGATCCTTGATCATTTTAGTCGCCCTCCTCTGGACACATTCCAGCTGGTCAATATCTCACTTCAATTGTGGTGCCCAGAATTGGACACAGTATTCCAGGTGTGGTCTAACCAAGAAGAATAGAGGGGTAACTTACTTAGGCAATCCCTCGTTGGCCGAGTAGGATAATCTTCCAGGATCAGTGTTTGGTGGGTCCGTAGGTGACTGTGGGGCCCTATTCTTGATCTACATCTTCTCCCGTAGTGAGGGCATTGATTTCCAGGTGGAAGGAGGTCTCGGTCAGGGTTGGCTTGACACACCTTCCTCTTCGCACGCTTCTCTCTTTCACCCTCCATTCGTGCCTCTTCAAATTCTGCAGCACTGCTGGTCACAGCTGACCTCCAGCTGGAGCGCTTCCCAAGGGCCAGGGCTTCCCAGTTCTCATTGTCTATGCCAGAGTTTTT